TTTCAGAATTTGTTCAGTTTAGCAGAGTTAGTACCCGTGTTTCAATAAATCAAAAGATATCAGGGGAGTTCTTTAATAATGTTATGGTCATCTAGAATACCGAACTTCCTGAAAACGTTATCATATTTCCTCAGACAACGTTTAATGCCTTTAATCAGTCTATCACGGCTATATCCTCTATCAATTAGAATTTTGAATATTTTGTGAAGATGGGAGGTAAAGATATCCAATATAGTGCAAACATTACCATATCTAAGAACTTGACTTGAAAAAACGTTGTAGCCAACCTCGGTTGGGATGTTACTGTGAGGAAATGTAAGGGATACAACATGAAAATTAAAATCATCAGTTTTGTTATACACTGATATTTCTAGTCCTTCTGTGGAAATATTAATATTTAAATCAAGGTAGTTAATGATTTTATTATTGGAACCAGCTCGCTCCATCTCCAATGAATTAGGATAAATATCTTTAATCAATTGATGAAAGTAAAGGTAGTTAATAATAGATATATCGTCAACATATCGTTTATTATTGGATAATATCTTTGCTAATCCCATTTTCTTTTCCTGAAGTAAACGTTTCATATAATTAAATTCCTTTTTGCCAACAGTGAGATCAGCTATAGGGGAACTTGAATTTCCACCCATAGGAATACCCTTGGTTTGTATGAATACAATCCCACCGAAGACGACATAAGTGTTATAAATAATAAATTTAACAGCCTCTTTTAGGTCATCTTGACTAAAGCAGGCATGAGAATCATAGGTTTTATTGGAAAAGAAACATGTATTACTGTCTCTTTTAGAAATACAAATATATTTATTACGGTCTGAAAATATTAAATCAACAACTTCATTAATCATATTCTCTACTTCAATTTGGAAACCCCAAAGGTTTTGCTCTATTACGGGTAAACCTAGGATGCTGCAGATTCAACTCTGTACATTCAGACCGTCTGTGCGTGGTGAAGAGCCACATCCTGCTCGAGGTGGGGCTGCATGCAACTTCAGTGATGGAGTTGTAACTGAACACAGCGGATCTAGGGGTGCACCCCCGAAAAAAAAAGCCGGGCATCCTCAGAACAAGCTCGTGATGATGGTGATTTGGGTTAATGAAGATGTAACAGATTCCGGAACTATGGGAGCACCATCTGTCATCTTTCCGTTTTATTTACTGTATGTGGGAACATCTACTGATGAAGTAGCTATCAAGAGAGCCATTCCAGTGGCGCAGGTGGCTCACGTGTCACATAGCCAACAGAAAAGAAACATGATGAATAGTTCTTACAGCACTAGGGTATCAGCCCCTACTTTTGTTTCTGGACGTGAAGGTGGTAATGATTTCACCAACTTAAATCCGAATGGAAGGTTGGCGAATGATGAGCCTAATCAACCTGAAACACCCAACATAAACGAAAACAACAAAAAAAGTTTATTTTCATGTACCGACATTACCTGGGTAGGCACTCTTAACACAAGAACGATAAGAACTGCTCAGAGGAAACTGGAGATGGTACATCTTTTCGAGAAGAGTGGAGCAGAGATTGTAGGTATCCAAGAGCACAGGATAGTCCATGAAGAGCCTGTCAAAGTAGAGAGAGTTGGCAAGAGCAGCTATCTAATTACTTCATCAGCTACTAGTAATCGGGCCCAGGCAGCAGTGGGCGGAGTGGGATTCATCCTAACTAGCAAGGCATTTGACGCAACTACGGAGATAACACCAGTAACGGAGAGAATCCGTTGATCATAGACTTGTTTTGTCTAAGATCAAGCTATCTCTTCGACGAGCAAAAAAGCAACCCAAGAAAACCTGGTATAATTGGGGAGCACTTAAATCGGATGAAGACCTACAGAAGAGATATGCAGTAGAAGTCAAGAATCGGTACTCTGCTTTATGCGAGCAAACCGATGAAAGTGAGGTTACGGAACTGTATGGGCATTTTGTTGATGCGATTGCTGATACCAACAAAGCCATACTACCTAAGAGAGAAAAGAAGAGACGTGACGATTTCGCGGGTGATCAGCGAGTTCAAAGCGTGCGTACAGCCTTGCAGCAAGCAGAGACTGTCTATCACCGGGAGCCTAGTGAAGACAGTCGACTGTCTGTTAAGCTACTAAAAACTGAACTGGATCAGGTGTACCAGGACATCTTTGAAGAAGATCTAGTTGCCAAGGTTAGAAGGGTCGAAATGGCTGCAGACAGATGCAAAAACAAAGAAAGTTGGAATGTCATAAATGAGATAACTGGCAGGAAGGCCAAGGGGGCAACTCAAATAAGGGGCAACGGAGCCGAAGAAAGGAAGAAAAATTGGCTTGGGCATTTCACGAATCTGTTAGGGAGTATACCGGATGTGGAAAACGAGCATCCTAGGATCGAGACTCAATTTGAAGGACTCAACATCAGTACAGAACCTTTTACTGTGGATGAGCTTAAAGCTGCTAAACACAGGATAAAAGAAGGTAAAGCACCAGGTGATGACGGCATACCACCTGAAGTCCTCAAAAGATGCGACCTGGATGAAATCGTGCTGTCCTTCTGCAACAAAGCCCTGACAGATGGTATTGCGCCAGATCAGTGGAGGATAAGTAACATCATCCCGGTTCCCAAAAAGGGAGACTTGACCAACCCTGGAAACTGGAGGGGGATATCTTTGACTTCTCTCGTAGCTAAGACTCTTAATAGAATGGTGCTTAATAGGATTCAGCCGGCTATAGAGGGGGTACTTAGGGACACTCAGAATGGTTTTCGGGAAGGACGGTCCACTACTAGTCACATCTTGGCACTCAGAAGGATTCTAGAGGGGGCTAGACAGAGAAATTTACCGGTAGCTATGGTGTTTGTTGATTTTAAGAAGGCCTTTGATTCACTTCACCGGGGAATTTTGATGCAAATACTAAAGGCCTATGGAATACCGGACAGTATTGTAGATATCATTAATCTTCTCTATGTCAACACGAAGGGCAAAGTTATAACACCAGATGGGGATACCGAGCTATTTGATATCCTGGCAGGAGTTCTTCAAGGGGATACATTAGCACCATACTTGTTCATTATAGCCCTTGACTATTGCATGAGACAAGCCTTAAGCAAGCATCCTGAAATAGGATTTACCATTAAGCCTTATCGGAGTAGGAGAGTCAAGGCGGAGAAGATAACAGACACTGGTTTTGCAGATGACATTGCTCTGATAGCAGATACTGTAAAGGAGGCAGAGATGCTGATGCTAGAGGTAGAAAGAGTTGCTGCTACAGTGGGACTTAGAATGAATGAAGGGAAAACCAAATTCATTACTCAGAACATCGAGAACCCTGATACCATCAAGTCCCTGGGTAACAACACAATAGAGCACGTGGAAGACTTTACCTATCTTGGTTCTAGAATCAGAGACAGTGAGAGTGATATCAGGGTTAGGAAAGGAAGAGCATGGGGAGCATGCCACACTCTCAAAAAACTTTGGAAATCTAACCTTAGAAAGTCTATCAAGACCAGAGTGTTCACAGCACTAGTCGAGTCGGTGCTTCTATACGGTTCTGAGACTTGGACTATGACGAAAAGGCTGGAGAAGATGGTTGATGGTTGCTATACACGAATGTTAACAATGGCCCTTAACATCAATCAGTATCGAGACCATGTCAGCAACCACAGTCTGTACGGTGATCTTCCTAAAGTCAGCTCCAAGATAACCCAACGAAGGCTCAGACTTGCAGGTCATGCTCACCGACATCCGGAGCTGACACTGAACAAACTGATCCTCTGGAAGCCGAGTCATGGGCATACTAACAGGGGGCGACCTTACCTAACACTACTAGATAACCTAAAAGCAGATACTGGGCTGAAATCAGTAGATGAGATAGCTACACTGATGGAGGACAGAAAGCTGTGGAGAACTGTTGTCAATGGATCTCGGGAATACTACCCGCCTTAAGTCAAGTCACAAGTCTACTTCAATCAAGTCTAATCTGGTATAAAGAGTAGTAAAATCATATACTTGTATATTATAAACATCGCTATTTTTGATAGCTTCAAGGAATTCACTTGAGGAATCTATGCTCCAAAACATGTTTATACCGCTGTTGTTGTAGATTGCCTCGCAGTATTTCTTGAAGTATTTCCTCAAAAGTTTCAGACAACAGTTAACTTGGACGTTAAGTTGTTTCGTAACGCAAAAACGGGCACCTGCAATGAACCTCGCCTTGTAAGGGTTCTTATGAAGCTTAGGGTTCCAGAAGATGCGTGCTAGTCGCAAGTTTTTATCTTCAACTTGTACATTAAATCTCTCCTTTAGACTCTCAGATATTTTATTGACATAATGAGTCTCGTTTTCGCTACAGGGTTTATATGTATCATTACCTATACATTCTAGAGTATTAGGATAATACAGCAATCTCTAATTTGGGGACAAGGGAACAATCCCTCACTGCTATAACTCTATCAATTTCCAAGTTAGGCAAGTTGCGTATCCGTTGTCCTGCACTCTGCAGTCTGCACCAGACTTTTAAAGATACGATAACTTTAACTACACCCCTCAACTCTCATATACAGGAATTAAACATCATATCATATCATATCATCATATATAACACCCTATAAACCCCTCACAAAACCTCAATTCATTCCCTTACTTTACACTTTTACACATGTTGTCCCAACTCACCCTCTTCTAATTTGATTGCCTCACAATCAGATAATACAATTGAGTAAAGGAGTAGATCCTTGCGGTGTGTCTACGTTTTAGCAATCAATACTCACTTTCCGAGCAAATATTCACGAGCCTATATTGTCTTTTTAAGGAGTCGGTATCCTGGCGTTCATAAAAATAACCTTATGCTCGTATGGAGACAGTAACATCAATTTGAATGCTTAAATTCGGTATACAGTATACACTATGAATTAGCCTGGCAAATTAGTATAATAATTTGTATACTAATTTAGAAGTACAAAGCTTTTTAATTTACATAAATAAATTATAAATTAAATTTAAAAAATATGCTGATTACCTTTGACTCGTCGCTGCCCGCACCAATATCAAATGCTTTGGCGTAGAGTTCGTCTGTTTCTTTATCGATCAAAAACAGAGAACATCTTTCTGCGTTTATCAAATCTTTTGCTTGTTCCTGGATGGATAATTATAGATTAATAGTACTTACGGTGTAATAGTATACTTTTAGTGTACTATACTACAGTAAAACCCCGATTTACCGTAGTTTTGGGAAAGGAAAATAGTACAAAGAAAAGCAAGTCAACTCTCTTCAAGTCAACTCTTCCATTTCATAACATCAAAGATTTATTATCAAAACATTAAAAGTCAATTTAAAGAATAAACTGTTGACAGGATTCTACTATTTACGTTATTTGTTTTCAAAGTGTAATCAGACAAATAGACCCTCTCACCAGAATCTGATCAATAACAGATAGATCGTCAGCTGTTTTGCCCTGCACAATATCCGTGTATAACGACCTGAAAACGAGTCATGCTTTAGATTTGCCTGTTATGTCATAAAAGTAGACACTAGACAGTATCACCGCCCTTTTTATTGAGTTTAAAGTTGATTGTTGTCAAGTTTTTAACGCAAAGAACGCAGCAAACCACATAGCTCGACACATGATGTCATTCAAAAATTAATTCTATATCATATAGACTTTGTTGTAACTTGTATGAAAAGCATTAATATCTTATTTTTTGAAGAAAAAGTGACCTAAGAGACCAGTTAGCTGGTTACCTGCTTTGTGTTCCTATTTTTTGCTAACAAGCCGGCTTGTTAGCAAAAAGCCTCACATACATAGATAATAATTGTTACTGCCTCATCACATTGTTCAGTTATAATACACATAATATGTAAGCTTTGTATTGCCACGCCTCATGTAGTTGCTCACCAAACATTTACGGTGTATACAGTACACATTACCCTGATCAGCATTGAATATTAATATAAATATTTTTTTAAAATGATTTGTTTTTTCTATTTGCTTGTTTGCTTAGGGAAACTTTCCGATCACTTAATTGTTTACATGGCTTAAATCAAACGTCACTGATCGAGAGACGTGAGATACCGCACTTTATGGTTGGAAATTACACTGACATCTAGCGGAATTTCCAGTTTCTCAGTTATAATTATACGGATAATTTTTTGAAAAGAGCAGGAAGTTACAAACTTATATTCTAATCGGGGGCCCCCTTGCTTTTAAGTGGGCCCTGGTAAGGTTATACCGTTTATAAGTTTCGTCATCTTTTGAGCTAGAAGGATGGGACTTAACACAGACCTAGCCAATCGATTCCTCTATGGCACAAATACTTAAAGTCAGTGCTGGTTCACGGACCATTTCTCTTTATTTCAAAATTTGTTCGTTTGATTTGTAGCTAGTTTTGGCTTCTCAAAGAAATCTTGATAACTTTGGTTGTGGATTGCGGATTCACAAATGTTGATGGAGAGCTGACAGACGGAGCTGCAAACTCTTTGGATGTTCTGCCATCAAGAAGAACAACCCGTAGATATCACAATCTTCTAGCCGTGTTTGTTGAGGGTCAGATTGGTAAAATAATGACAGAATCCGAGACCTATAATTTGCCGGGTATAGTAACTGCATTACATATTTCGAACTACTTTTGGCCGGTTGTATCGATCATGTAAACAAAGCGCGCGCGCCTTCTATCAGTTTCTGTCACGGTGGATGCTGAAATATTTAAACATAAACTTCGCGCGTTCCAACTCTTCCAAAAACCAAAGTGACCGCCTCTACAGATACTGGCACGAAGTAACAAATCGCGAGATTAATTTTACTTTCAAGCGACACAGTCAACACATTGCATCTAATGAACCGAGAAGGTAACTGTTTGCATTGTTTAACATGCAGTCAAACGTAGGCGAACTTCCAATTCATTTCACCCGTGTAAGGTACATGCTATATCCGTGATATGACATCATTTCAATGAACATTCACACTTTTCCTTGCTCTTGAGCAAGCAATTGTGGTGAAAATTCAACAGAAGGCCCGTTAACATAGATATAAAAATGAATGTATGAGTTTATCGTTTTTAATCGATAACAATGTAGTCAAAACATTGAATGGCTCTCAAACTTGATTTACTGTACAGTGTACAGTAGTGTTTCAAGTGTTTGAATACAGTACAGTGTTATATCAGGGTGTAGCTAGCAAACTCACTTCGTCACGTTTAGTAGTAGGTCGTTAAAATCCGTCTGATGTTTTACTGCTTCATACAACTGAATAAATCATGTATTTTAATGATTGAACGATTCGTTTACTTAACAAATATATTTTACAATCATCAATTAATGCTGAACGCAACCCACACATTGATAATTGCATTTGATGAATTTGATGAATTTGATGAATTTGACCAATTTGATCAATTATTATGCAAGTTCATAACAAACTTGAATAATAATTGAGTTTAAATATAATCTAATAAAGCATTAAAGCAATTAAGTTATTAAAATGCGGCGGAGTAAAGATTGTATTGGTCATAAATTATGTAATTTTACGTTTTGAATTGAATTTTAGGAATCGTGAAATTAAATTGAACTCATTCAAGGATCTCTAATCAGTGCTGAAGTTTACAACGCCTTTAATTACATTATTATTATCTTGTTATCGAAAATCAAATACAGGGGGGGGGGGGGGGGGGGGGCCAAAATTCAGTACACATACTTTGGGGCTTATTTATCAGTTATTGAGTGCCCGGTTGAAGTAATACTTTCTGGTATGACTTGCTATTATCACTCATTCGAGGAATATACATATCATATTATACCAAATAATAGCGATGTTCATTTTTCCGAATGAATGTTAATTTTCGCGAATTTTTTGATATTTGAATGATACTTCAACAAAAACGAATATTAGCAAATTGGGCGTGGTTTCTAAAAATTAAATTTACAAATTTTGGCGACGGAATCCTCGAATGAGTAGATACAATTTATCATTTGCAAAGTTACAGGTCTCAAATATAAAACATGGCGATCTTATAAGACCCAACGGGAGTATGTGTACTGACTTTTGCCCCCCCTCCCCCCTTGCTGTAAAATGATCAAAATTTAATCTTTAATCTATGAATTCAATAAAATTAATTCCGGAAATACAAATTAGCCTAATTAATATCTAGTCGTGGAGGTGACGCAAATTATCTTTCATTGGGGAGACAATTTCCATCCAATCCACGCCAGAAGTCAAGTTGCATATAATATAATACTTATCCCTCTTTCTTACGATATCATTTATCAATATTTTTCAATGTAGTCGTTGCTTAAATTACATAGTCGGCGGTAAAGACTAAAGTGTAAATTCGTTTTTGTTGATAGTTTATTGTTATCCTGAGGAGTAGTGATATACAATAGTTATAATTTGTTATCAATCATTTATAAAAATAGTTCACCTTAGCATATCTGACGACTAGTTCGCCCCACTTGGAATAATTTCGTAACAACTGAAAAAATCACTGTTAATAATCCATTTGAACAAATTTCTCACATTCAATTTTGTGTACAAATTTCATTAATGGCCCAGGACTTTTGTTAAAGGAAACAATAACATAAATAAATAATTAAAACTTTAAAAAACAAATAAAGTAAACCTGCTCGTCGTGTTGTGTAAACTGTGGCTTCCCAAAGTCTCGACATATCTCGATCACACCTAAACAGATACAATATAACAATCACAGAGGTTAAACTGAATTTTTCTCCATGGTTAGACTATGATCTTAAAACACAACAGACAATAATAGTACAACAATAGTATAATATGCAATTTACCAATTTCATATCACAGTTTTTAGGTTTCGAACCCCTCTTGTATTATCTTGACTGGTTATAAATGTAATACTGCAACAATGTTCATATGTGTTCATATGATGTACAGCCACGGACAACTTATGAAATTAAGCAAGATAAGAGCAAGATAAGAGCAAGATAAGATCAAGATAAGATCAAGATAAGAGCAAGAAAAGAGTATGAATTGTCTTGTCTTTATTCCAGTGTCTATCTCCTTTTTCACATAATCAAGCTAATTTCCATGGCAGAAGTTGAGCTCTCCTCAAAAGGTACACGACTACTCCAATTCAGCATATAATATTACCGTTTAGTTAGTAAGTTAGTATTGTCACAAACTCCAGGAGGTCTCAAGTCTGCCTATTACATACTGGATAATAGTGATTATTATAAACCATTATTGTTCAATATTATCATCACAACTCATCAACATGACACTGATGTGGTAGCAAATCATTATCATCCTGGGTCCAATTAATGATTATAGCTCTATAACGGGATACGGGGAATAATCAATTTATTATCCTATCGATACACTCAAATAACAATACATTGATAGTTTGTGTTGACCTTGAATAATTGTTGATGTCTAGTGGCAATATAATTTTATAGCTAGGCTGGTAGATCATAGATATAGCTTTATAAAGCTTTATAAATTTTTATAAACCCAAGTCTTAAATATTACTTTTATAATTAAACACTGCTGCCCTTAATTATAAACATTATTATCGAGAGAGTGCTAATTATCTATGAGTGATCTTTCCTTTCTTATTTTCTTAGAGGATATTTATAGTTGGTTATGCAATGATTTCTTTAGTTCCTGCCTGCCTGTTTGCTCAATACTTGATTGTTTTCTCGAACTTTGCTCCTAATTCTTAATGATTAAAAGCGGGATATAATTTCTCAGTTTATCAGTTTATCAGTTTATCTGTTTATCTGTTTATCTGTTTATCTGTTTATCTGTTTATCTGTTTATCTGTTTATCTGTTTATCTGTTTATCAGTTTATATCAGTTTATGAACGCAACAGAGATGTCCAAAAATAACGACTAGTCACTAGCTTCAATCTATAAAAAGTCTCATGACCATGTGTGTCTTATAACGAGTGTTTTTACAGGATCATATCACGTACCTCGAGGTACTGTTGACAAATCACAGCTGTTATAATGGCAACCTGCAGGCCTGATTACAAAGTGTATAGTCGTGTAACGACACCTTAGGAATACAAGTCTTACAATATCTGTATATAATAAGGATTAAATAGTACATCGTATCGATAATCAATATAGATGCCACGTCAAGGACTATAGTCTGGCAATGTGTATCTATAAACAGATGACTTATAAAATATTAGGCTAGGCTCCAGCGTGAGATTTGTAGAACCTTGGCCCTCAGGTTACGTTCACAACTTATATACGGTATGCAGGCATATGCCACGGCAATAAGAAAATTTGGGCATTAAATTGAAGATTAAAATTTTAAGCAGATAAGTCACATGATCCGAATTCCTTCACGTTTTTCCATTTATAAACTGTCGAACTTGTCGTTCCACTGCTAATTCCTAGCAAGAATCTCCGTCTCTCAGTTGATCGACAAATAGTTCAAGATGAGTTTGACCACTTGTTGTTGATTTGTCAAAATAATCTAGGGAGACGCAACTGGATATCCTCCATAGTCCACAGCCTTTAATTAAATGCAATCACCGTCGCGTCAGCCAATCTTGTGCCAAATCAGGAGGTGACCGGGATTCCCGGTTCCGGGAATCCTAGTACCGGGATTGGCAATTTTGAGCTATCCCGGTCTCGGTCCCGGTCAAGTCACATTTTTCATCCCGGTCCCGGTCCCGGTCCCGGTCAAATGCTGATTTATGATCCCGGTCCCGATCCCGGTTAATTCAGGATTCTTGGTCCCGGTCCCGGTCCCGGTCCCGGTCAATCACTCAAATTTGCCGGCATTTTGAGTGTTCACTGCACTGCCCTGCTGTGTAGTGTGTACACAGTGTAGATCAAAGCTATTTCTACTCGGTAACTAATATCGTTACATAACTCATAAGTGCAAAGTAACGTCAAGTTTTCAACTCGGGCTACGCCCAATTGTCAATTGGAATTGGAGAATGAAACTGTTGAATAATTTGAGGGATCATTGATTGAGGAATGAGGAATGAGGGTGAACTTGAGTAATCAGTACATGAACATTATTGGTGTAGTACATTAGGCACATGCCCCATATTGACGGGTTTTTTCAAGTTTTTTCTAATTTAATATTCTAGTTATTACTTATTCAAATTGTTCAATTATAATGTAAATGAAAGTTGCAGCTTTCAATATGAGAATACCAGTTTTGGTCCCGGTCATCCCGGTCAAATCCCGGTCATCCCGGTCATCCCGGTAAAATTGGATTGTTGGTCCCGGTCCCGGTCCCGGTAAGATAGAAATTATTGGTCCCGGTCCCGGTCCCGGTAAATTGATAATCTCAGTCCCGGTCCCGGTCCTGGTCCCGGTCAAGTCACATTTTGTATCCCGGTCCCGGTCTCGGTCCCGGTCAGGCCTGAAATCATGTCCCGGTCACCTCCTGTGCCAAATATGTCGGACCGACATAAAGAGATAAAGACTGCGGTGCCCTCTTTTCTGAACATTCGTCTTAAATAATAATCCATGATTGGTGACTTTCACAATGTTATAATTCGTTGCACACCCTTACAACTTTACAATTATTGTGTCCCTCGAGCAGAGCCCCTGTCGTATAACTATCAGCTGGTCAGTAGACTTGCTGAGTCGTATTTATCTCAACATTAATAACTACTGACTGCTCACCCACTGAACTTTAGATGGCAGATTTTGGGACAAAGTACTGTATCGTCAACAGTTGTGTGCCACCCACTTTGCACGGTCTATACTTACAGACTTACCCTGACGTAGGTATCTGGTGTATGGATATTGGACATGAGAGTTCTGTACGTGTAATTATACTGCTGGATGAGATATATATTATATGGACTATAAGATTAAGATTTATTACAAATGTCAGCAAAATTTAGGGATTTGCTAATTACAACTTAGTGCAGGTGCAGTGTAAATACGATGATATTATTATGTAGTGTATTAATCCAATTGCAAGCCTTGACTTTATGTTTTATAATTCTTGCACTGGTGTCTAACTATCGATCTAATTAACTAGAGCTCTGAACGTGTAGGGTATCTAACAAGACACCAATCCTACAAGTAACTTTAAACAGCAGCTGGATAATGGATATATTAGGTGGAATTGTCCTAATTATAAGGGAATAATTGTGGAACGTAAGCCTAATTCGCGGTTATAAGCATATAATATACGAGTACACTGTACAGATAACCCTATTTTTATTACTAGGCATTTTACTAAAACTTCATTTTTATTTTCTCGATTATCTCAATCCCTCTAAAAATGCGTTTAATTTGAGCCTACCCAAAATTTATCTTTCCCCCGATTCTACAACTTGGAGAGGCCAACAAATGTTGAGTCCTCTTACCTCTACTATGAAATACAGATGATCATTCCATGCACAACTGATCAGACTATAAATGAACAATAAGATAAAAGTTACGATAACATTAAAGTCGGAGAGTTATCGAATCAGGGTCGGTATAATTGAGTTACTTAATTCTGCCGAAGGACATATTCTATAATTTTAAAATTTATATTCAATAAAACTTTGTTAGCTTATAATTAGTTAGAGTGTTATTCTTATTACAGACCTGACCGAATTCTCATATTCTGATAACTGATGAAGTGATGATCATTGATCAGTCCCCTTTTTAACAGGTCCAGCAATCTGACTTTTAGTAAGACTCGATATTGATCGAAGCCTGATCTGCTAGTTTTCAAATAAGATTGGTTCTTCATTTCTATATGTCATTGTTCGGACACAACATTTACACTGTATGACAAGTGATTACAAAATTTACAACTTTTAAACGTCAGTCTTTCACCATATTAAAACATTCCATTTCGTGTTTAAATCCAGTCATTAAACTTATAATATATTAATAGTTCATATGAGTTATTATCAGATGCAACTCCAGGACTATTCGTTGTTTCTCCGTTTTTTATCCTAGACTCCCCATTTACCTCATGGCCCTCGCAACACAAGTAATTTATATTTGTTTAACATCTTTCCCAAGGAGTATTTAGTCATTATGCACTTTGCAGTAGGTTCCATTTCTTGATTATACTATTAGACTCTCTGATTATGTTGTATCTTGAGACACGGCATCGTTTATATGTTATAGTTCTCAGCTCTTTTCTCTTCATTGGCCCGTTTACCCTGCACCTGTCTGCAAATTGCCGGTCGTTTCGATTTTTAGTTTCCTTTGATTTGACTCTCTCTCTAAAGAGAATGATTTTGTCATTATCTTCGTAACGCATTTAATTACCCTTGGCCTTCTGCCATTTTCTATCAATCACTCATTCTTCAAATACTACTACAGATAAACTCATGGCGGGTCTAGTTGCGGACTAAGTACGTCATTTTATCTTTGCGAAAATAAAGGAATTAGTGTGAGGAGATATTCCATACATTTGGTATCCGAATCTGAATTTTACTGCGGTATTTTTACGAAAATAAGAGCGCGTAATTGAACATTCCATATTCTATTTTTCGTTACATTTCATCACTTCTTACAGTAACTTATGTAGTTAAAGAGATGCTTACCGTTTACAAACTATAACAAGTACTTGTGACTCACTATCTGAACAAACTAAAGTTCAAGTAGCCACAAATCCTTTCACTCTATTTTTGTTCAATTTCATTACTTCTTATTCTGAAAAGAGATGGTCTCTCTATTTCATTACTCATTTTCCTTTTGTTTTTTATAAATGAAATCTTTTGTTTCAAAGGCAGCCTAAACATTATTTGTGTGATTGTATTTGATTAGTGCAATTGTTTTATTCTTTTTTTCTCTGGATCATTGATTCGTTGGAAACAGGGAGTTGTGCAGATCCTTTGTATGATTCAAACGAAATTGTTTTCAATCAAAATGATCCAAATCCACTGTACTGTACTGCGCCATATTCTCTCTTAATCATCTCAATCAACCTGAAGTTTCCGGTTCTCAGGACCCCCCCCCCCCCCCCCCCCCCAAATATGCACTGCCGCAATGGTGTAAAAGTCTTGATTTTCGGGGCAAGTAGTCAAGTAAACGGGGATCCATGATTAGGGTTTGATGAATGACGTTTGGAATTTTTTGGATAAATAGCACAAATCTGGAATTTTCGGGAACTTTTTGTTGATATTCGTGCCAATTTCGCCATAGATCTACTTATAAGTTATAGATCACGAAAATACTCAATACTAATAGTTAATAGTTAATAGTACTATGTTTGCAGTATGTAGTGAAGGGGTATCCTAGGAAGTTTCTTGAACTTTTAACAGGTACCCCTCTTCATTTAACTCTCAATCAAGTTTCCTATCATTCGGCTGAGTCGACCGTGGTGATCGCATAGTCAAGACAGTGACTCTGGGTTTCATGTCTGAAAGCTGATTAGCTAATCGTTGCCACATGTCCGGTACCGACCCAATTTCTAAACCTATTAATAACTAACTTATGTGAAGTATCACTGATTTACCTGCACATTGTTCATTATCTAGCAGGACCGGAACTGCCAGTACTGCCTGTGTCTTCGGTCCTGAAATAAATGTCATGATCATACTGTGCTTAATTAATCTGCGATACCCGCAGACGAACACAAAGATTAAATCAAATTAAGAATAATTATATTAAACATAGTCACTCACGGCTCACCATTACTAAAAACAGTCGTCCTACTTTCTAATTATCAGAGCTTTGAATATTTCACAGTCGTCGTTATTTATAACGATATGCATATTACATAATATGTGTATATAATATATATGTATATGTATATGGTGAGGCAAGTCCCCATTTATTTCACAGCTTTGTGAGTTGTGTAACTTTATTTGTTCAGTTATATTTTATCGTTATTCGTTTCTTCGTATTGGGGTATTACTGGCACGTGATGTGAGTTTTGATTGGTCGGCCTCACTTTAGTGATTCTGAGGAGTGGGGTACGAGATATAATATCTCGGAGATATTGGAAGTTTATTATTATTTATTTTCAGTCTTCAATAGCCATTGAAATTTCTGTTAGAAAACCCGAATAAGTTGTCTTTTATTGCATTATTGTTGACGGAAAAGGACGTTAGCGATTAATTCATTCCATAATTAAATATTTTTGGATAGTTTCTAATTGAATTTGAACACATAATTCAAGATTTTATGTAATACATTTAATTATATAATAATATGCATTATATATACTTTCGAAAGCATCCTTCTGTTGCTCCTTAGACGGCAATTTCTTCTATTATGATAACCGCCCGGATGGGGCCAATTATACTCATACAATGAATGGTTATCGGTTATTTACCACTTCACTTACATCACTTACTACGGGCCGACCTTATTACGTAAATACGGCACTAACATGTGGCACTCGCGGCACTAACATGCGGCACTCGCGGCACTAACATGTGGCACTTGCGGCATTAACATGTGGCACTCACGGCACTAACATGTGGCACTTGTGGCACTATTATTATATGTAACATGCGGCACTTGCGGCACTAACACGCGGCATTTGCGGCAATAAAATGTACGTCATGTGGCACTTGTGGAATTAAAGTGAGACTAGTGTAATTTTATTGAGATTATTGGTCCTTACACGGCTGAGTGAGTGCAGTGTGTATCGTGAGAGTACTTGTGAGAAGGCAGAGATTATCACTGGTACGCCCCTGGAGGACTAGTCTGGTTGGCCGCCTCTATTTTACGCTAAAGACATTTGCAGCATTTAATATGTAGCTCATGTAACTTATGTATTATACCCGATCATACCCTTAACTACTATTAAACTTATGCAATAAGAGCTCAACTTCTAAAGCTAATAATACTTAATAGTGTGTGCTGCAGTGCCGCGATTACGTGTTTCAAGTTTGTTTGCTTACTACTTCATGCTGTATTAGTGTATTATGGGCAAGTGAGGGTAAACATCTTAAGATAAGGGCTTTACCGTTGTCATGACATTCTGTAGTTTGTTTGCCGATATTTACCGAAATAAAGCTTGCAACCGAGGAGTATTTGAGCTGGTTTGAAGAGTTGTAGCAGTTTCATTGTTTCAATTCTAGGGAGGGAGGGAGGGAGGGAGGGAGGGAGGGAGGGAGGGAGGGAGGGAGGGAGGGAGGGAGGGAGGGAGGGAGGGAGGGAGGGAGGGAGGGAGGGAGGGAGGGAGGGAGGGAGGGAGGGAGGGAGGGAGGGAGGGAGGGAGGGAGGGAGGGAGGGAGGGAGGGAGGGAGGGAGGGAGGGAGGGAGGGAGAGAGGGAGGGAGGGAGGGAGGGAGGGAGGGAGGGAGGGAGGGAGGGAGGGAGGGAGGGAAGGAGGGAGGGGGTTTTACTGTATTGAGATCCCTATTCTGTGGAACTAAGTACTAGCGACACGCAGGTCGCAGACTATCGGAGTTTTGCGTAGAGGATACTATTACTAAAAATATCCAGATCAAAGTGCCTATAGTATAATAACATCCTTGCAAAAATATTTGCAGACATTGATCATATTAAATATTGATAATCCTCTTGAGGTTGCGACCAACTTAAGGAATCAAGCGTTTCACATTACTTTGTGATTCTATCAAGCCAGTGGATTTTTGACTACATAACGTTGTCGGCCATAGTATTCCTTGTTGCTTTGCTATATTTTTTAATTACGAAAAATTGAACAAACAACAACTTTCTTAACCCCGGTTACATATAATCAGGAACAATGGAAAACACTACCCTCTCACCGACCTCCACCTTCGACATGACAGTCAGCGCCTGGTATGAAATCCCAATCTGCGCGCTAATAGCCCTGCTCGGAACCCTCTTCAACACTCTCTCCCTGGTCTACTTCATTAAGTACGAATCTGAACAACTCGGCAGCAAGCTCCTCATGCTGCTCAACGTGTTTGACTTGTGTGTCTGCACCTCCTCTGCTCTTATTGTCTTCATGGAGATACTGAGAAGCAGCACCTCAAATACCCACACTCTGGATATACTGATGGCGGTGTACGTGGTGGCCAGTGAGAGCACGTCCTTCTCCACGTGCTTGTTGAGCGTGGTGCGCTGTTGGTGCTTGTGCCTTCCTTTTAACAAGGTTAACAACTGCCACCTTGTATTTTCTACCGTGTGCTTCCTGGCCTATGTTATCGGCAGAGAAATAGCTTACACAGCTATAAGATGGAACGGTGGTGGTGATTTGTTCATAACTTTCGGATTAGTGCGGGAGTATCTGACAATTGCATCAATTTGCAGCATAATTATTATTGTGATAGTTTCCAACATAATATCAATAAAGAAAGTGATAGCGGCGCGAGGCAGTAAAGACTTGATCGAGGTAACCAAACGAGCTGCAGTTACAGTCTTCCTAGTCTCCAGTATCTTTTGTCTTTACAACACCAGCTTTATCGTCCTGTTTTGCATTTTTCTGAACATTCCAAGGAGCTCTGATTTGGGAATGTACTTCTTAGAATTCCTAACATTTCGAGTGTTTCTGCCCATGAACTCTGCGACAAATCCTTTGATTTATCTGCTTAGGAAAGTTGAAATGAGACAGTTTGTGTTAAGCTGGTTGTACAGAATAAAGATATCTATTTTAAGACTATTCGGAAGACAGACTCTGAATGGGACCGGTCAGAATGGAGAGGATCAGGAGCTAGCATCTTTAACCGAAAATGGGAGAACTGGAGCTTCGATCGGATATGCGAATGAGAAGAAATATTTAAAAGAGAATAGTTAGTAATTAGTATTAGTTAATTAGCTAATTAGCTAATTAGTTGATTATCATTAGTAGAGCTGTAAATGTTTTCAGCTGACTCATCGTTCCTATAGTTTGCTCATTGCTCAGGCTGGCTGCTGGCGAAAGACTATATATATTGTGTAATTTAATGGAACTAAAATATGTGTAAACTGACTCTGCTGCTGAGATCAGCTGTACTCACTTCATTGTATAATACACAATTGTATAGAATTCAACGTCCCTTTGTACATAAACTTTATTGATTTTAAAGCTGCTTTTGATTCAATCAATCGTGACTTTATTTGGAAAGCTTTTGAACATTATGGTCTTCCGACAAAATATATCAATGTTTTCAAAGCGTTCTTTAGAGCAACTGAAAGTGCAGTTCGTGTCAATGGAGAATTGACAAGATGGTTTGATGTCGATTCGGGGACTGGACAAGGTGATGTGCAAGGGCCCCCCATTTTTAATCTTGTACTTAACTGGGGATTAGAACTTGCAGAGAAGTTTAAGAATATATCCCGTGGTTTTACACTTCAGTACAGACAAAGTTCCAGACAACCGGAAAAATGTGTCATTGATCTTAACTATGCTGATGACATCGCAGGAATGGATGACACTGTTGAAGGACTGCAAGAAACTACGGACAATATTGCGAAATATTGTGGGCTTGGGGGTTTAAAGATGAACGCAAAGAAAACAGAGATCATGGTCATTGGGAAAGATACATCGCAGCACCCACTCCCAGAGAATAGGACCATAGATATAACTGTCGATGGAAACTCTGCAAAGCAGGTCACTCAATTCACTTATTTAGGTGCCAAAATTACATCAGATGGCAAGATTGATAAAGAAATAAGTGTCAGGATTGGAAAAGCAACCGGAGCTTTTAACCAACTCAACAACATTTGGAAGAATAAGAACATAAGCATTAACAACAAAGTGCGAATCTACATTGCAGCTGTTCTTACCATTCTGACCTATGGATGTGAGATATGGAACACGACTCAAGTGCAGACAAGAAGATTGGAGTCTTTCCATCAGTACTGCTTAAGAAGAATCCTGAGAGTGAGGTGGTTCCATCGAGTAAGTAATGAGGATGTTTTAAGAAGGGCATCAATAACTGCCCTTGCTGACATAATAACAACAAAACGGCTGCGTTGGTTTGGACATGTCAGTAGAATGCCTGAAGATCGGTTACCCAACTATTTACTTGAATGGAAACCCAAGCATGGGAAGAGATCAAGAGGCAGGCCTAGGAAGAGCTTAAATGATGTATTCATTGAGGATGCTGAGCAGAGATTGGATCGTAATGGACTCACGATTGATTGTATGAGAAGATTAGCTGCAGACCGAAAGGGATGGAGAAATGTTACCCGCCGAAGTTGTATAATACAAAGTAATGACGCAGTCGACGCAGACTAATCCTTTTGGATGGAGATCTCGCCATGTAACATGTATGTATGTAAACTGACTCTAATTTTTGTAAACGTATCTTTAGAAAGTATATAATCCTAGGATGTAATCAGTTTAATGGGTATATTATATTCTTATATTGTGACATACTCTATAACATCAGTAAATTTTACTGATATTATAGAGTATGTCACAAAATAAATTGTAGAGTTAAAACTGGTAGTTTTGTTTGGTGGGTCTTACATTTTATTTAAATCTTAGTATTTGGGCCTTTATATTATAGTTCTTTCCACACTACTGTCCTACTGAGTATCAGAGTACAAGTGTCAGTTAATAGTACAGTGTTTATTAAACATTATTTATTATAATAATTATAGCGTGTCGTGTAACTTATGCTGCCTTTAATTCTTTAACTTATATAATATGTACCTTTACAAACTCAACTTCTGAACTGATCAACCGAATTTATTATTGCTTTATCAGATATTTGCGATGTGGCATAAGATGTAATATAAGAAATTGTGGATAAAGAATGAATTTATGGAATTGCGAAAAAAAATTAAATAAACAAAATTTAAAAACAAAAATATAATTATAGCAATGCAATATTTCATCCTCTATCTCCATTCCTGCCCAATTCCTTGTCAAGTTGTCCTCTTACCTCGTTTGCCAATACCGGCAGGGAACTTGGTGTCCTCTTGAAGAACATCTCCCACGTTGACGATATTCCTGGTCTGGACTACGTGAGCAGCGACAGTAACGTCCTCGCAACGTTCCGTCACGTCAAAGTGTTGGGTTAGGCAGCTGTGACACCTGGTAAATAAATTGATTCAGTCATCCAAATTATCTAATAACTTAATAAATCATAATATCGATCATTAATTAAATTAAATCAATTGATTCCAAATCGATCACGTTAATGACCGGGTTATCTAGATTCTAGATGCGGTCTGAGATAAATGGAACGTCTGAACGCTCACTTCCAAGATATACTAATAATACTATTAATACTAACGTGTGCTGTGCTTCTGAAGGGTTGTAAAGGTGCAGCGTGTTTGAATATTCCTGCTTGATGTACATTGAGTACAGATCACCTCCAATCACTGAAACGAGATGTCAGGAAATAGTTAGTTAACGTTTTTTGGAGTACCAAATTGAAATAATATCGGTATTGGTTGATACAATTACAACCCTCTGTTGCACTATTTCTGAGCAAAACACTAGCTATTCGGTAGTATACAATAAGGAGACACCCTGTCTTTCTTCTTCTACAGCCCACACGTAGGAATATGGACTGGACCTTTTTTTTTGACGATTTTTTGACGTCGAAGATTTTCAAAATTGAATAAAAAACTTTTGAAGGGTCATAATTAGGTGTGCTGTGTCACCCTGTAACCCAGTAAAACACCCGTGATAACTCACGTTGGAAGGCGTGCCGGGTGATTGTAAAGAGAGTAAAGTAAGCGTCGTCCACACAGCTGGGTGTCCCTATAGTCATGTCCAGAGGAAGGAGGTCCTCTTTTTCTAACGTATCTGAAACAAGAGTGAGGTGAAACACGCCAGTCGATACATTGACGATTTAACCACCCCCAATATCAACAATAAGACTGTCGATATTATTTGCAATGATATTTACCCCGCAGAGTTGAAGATTATAGTTACAAACTCTAGCAATTTATCTACGACTTTTCTTGATTTAGACATTAATATTTTGAACAATCGTTTCTACACTAAATTATATGACAAACGACGCACTGACTTTAGTTTTAAAGTCGTTACTTTTCCTAACCTTCGCTCCAACGTACCTGTTAAACCTTCGTATGGAGTATTTGTAGGTGAATTATATAGGATATGCAAATCTTCCTCAGTAGTTACTGAATTTATTCATGATGTTAAATCATTAATTGATAAACTGATTAGTGATTGTACCCAGAATTTTGAACGGAAAATCTTACATAGATATCCTTAATTATTTATTAATAGTCAGCCAGCGTGTATCCTCAGACACTGGCATAGTTTTACAGTTAATGACTTCATGTAATTATAGTGTGTGTGAAGCCCTCTTGTAATTCCTTATGCATGTTACCTTTTGCCTTTCTCCTTTAGCCATAATTTCTTTGATCGTATCGATACAGTTTTATTTTATTTACTTTCACAATTTATTGTTAAACTTTCAAGCGGTAAACTAGTTTATTTTCTATATTCTTTCAGACTTTTATTTAAGTCTAGTTAATAGTTATACATTATTATATCATATTTTATTGATCTAAGGTGTAGTATTGCCAGATCCTAGTTAATTTTGTAACGGAGTTTTATACTAACAGGAAACGATATAACAGAGTCGATATATTTTAATGTTGCCATGGGGTGGCAAGTCCCCATACATCGCAGTCCGGTAGTTTCATTGCGTCCTAATATAGAGGAATTTAGCTAGTTTTACAGGCGCACTTGTCACATGTTTTACATTTTAGTTAATCACTGTACAGTGTACAAAGTGTAAATACTGTGAATACGACTATGAATGTTAAAGTAGCCGTGGCAGCACCTGTTGAATTGTAAGACCATTTAAAAATATTTTTAACACAAAGTTTTCTATTTTTCCGGAAAGCCTATAGGCTATAGAATTACACTTCCACCTCCCCTGGTGTCATGAAACAAGAACTGTCAAATCAAATGAGTAATAATCACATTTACCTCCCTCACATCCAGTGCAATTAAAACTTCGCTCTACTGGTAAATACGGAGCTCACACATCGAGCAGAACGGCGTGTCCTCATTGGCTAACTCGGGGGATCACGCTACTTCTATTGGCTGGCAGGGGTCACGTTCAAACCGAAATCAGGACAAAAACACAATATAAGCCCTCATAAAAAGGGAGAAACATCGCACTGCTGTCATGGGCATCTGTAATAAGACGCAAAATTTGGACATGTCACAGTAGTGTTACTACGATGCGTCATGATGCCCCCAAGTAAAACTCTAGCTGTCATCTCCAGTAATATAACTACTCTCCTACTACTGCTCGGAGATTTCAGAGGAAAAGTTATGTACTACAGCAAAGAAATGTATTTGATGTTATATTTAAAGATTTAATACTGTGACACCCAGTGACGATCTAGTACTGCAATATCTCAACGATTTTGAATAATATAATTCTACTTTTTTTTTATTTGAAAATTCAATCAATTATTACATACATAGATACATAAATCAAGCGTTACATTTCAGCCATGCAAGATTGCAATGACATTATTTAGATGTATTATTACCAATTGATAAATGGTACAGATGATAACTAACTAAATTAGAAAAATAAACTTGGATATATAATAATTAATTCAGCTGAACCATTAATTCAGCTGAATTAACGGCCAGGTAGCGTAGTTGGTTAATCATCGGATTTGTAATCGTGAGATTGTGAGTTCGAAACCCACTGCCTGCCTAGTCGTGGGGTGAGTGTCGTCGACATTCAGCTAAAGATCCTGAGTGGTCTATGCAGCCCCCCGGTCTACTCAGCCGAATATTCGAGAAATCGTGTGTGAGGGTTAAATGAGAAGCTGTCCATTGCAGCGAAGTCTCGGGCGAAGAAAGTATGGTACACACTACCTTAACCGTCACTGGCCTAATTAAATCCTTCGGCTTCCTGTAATTGGCTAGTTACACTTGTGTAACAATGTGGCTGTTGGAATACTCCGAAGTAAAATAAGTGTGAGATAAAATAAAAAAAACACAATAACACATAGCAAGAGCCACATTAACGTCGGGGCCGTCGACATAATATTATCGTATTACAGTATCTCGGTTACTGATGTTACTTTAGGAGAGTTACTTTAGGAGACTAGGAGAGTTACTTAAGGAGACTAGGAGAGTTACTTTTATGAATTGACAAATGAACAGCATGAGCAGTGAGGCACCTTTCGTTACTTCAACGGGATCATGTCGCCGGTCACATTACCAAACATCGTCCAAAAACATAGTTTTGAGGTAATTAAAAAAAACTTCTTATTTAAACAGTTTTGACAATAATTTAGCCATATTTTATACTTTATATTTTATACTCCATTTATTAAGTGAATTTCTTTCATTTTCGCGAATGTCAATCAATTTATGTTTTCATGTACTGTCTATGTATGGCCAAAGTTATCAATTATTATTTTAATTGAATGTCACCTGTTAGTGTTATCCTCATAGGTACCAAATATGGTATGTCCAAATATGGTCATACATTGTTTGATTTATGTCAGATAGTTTTACGACTTACAACAGAGCCGACATAATCATATAAAAGCGGCGGCTGCGGAAATGCACTTTTAGCCGTTTCCCTCACAGGTGCACAAATTCGCGCGAACATTCGCTGCACTCGAGCCACACACTTCGCAAAATTTGCCGCACTTATAATTATATTATGTTGCCTCCGCTTGAGAACGATATTATCATGCCTTTACTCTATCCGTGGCGAGGAATATTAATCGTGCGTGGTGTGACTGTAACCACGGCTGAACTAATGAAAGATTTCTTTGTGCTCAACCTCGTCGTAAAATTAATTATAACATGAGAATACTATCAAACTATCACAACTAAGCTCAGTCTTACTCGTAATTAAAAATGTTTTAAATATCACAATAAATAGTTTAGCTCAGTTGAATAAGGAGCACATTGTTAACTTTCGATTATCTAAGTCAGCTGTTAGAGATAAATGCTGGTACTCAATTAAAGTTATTTATAAGAACTAGCCTTAGTCGCCCGGGATAATGGTGCCTCTTAACCCGAATAAAACTTTAAAACGTTTCCATTACTATTTATATAGTAAAAAACGTGAGTGCTATACACAGTTTAGTTATAACTAAACTGTATAGCACTCACGTTTATTCGCATATTTAATATTTATACAGCACAGGGTGAGTCAAAAGTCATTGGGCATACGTTGGCCTTAATAGCTCAGTCACTGAGTAGTGAGTGCCCAATTGAAACAATTCTTTCTGGTTTGACTTACTACCACCACTGGGCACTGGTTCGGGAAATTTGTCAAATCGAAAAATATTCGAGTTCATTTTTTTTTCAAATGAAGGTTCATGTTCGCATTTATTTGATAGTTTGGATAGTCGGATCGAGCCAAATTTTATTGGATTGTGTTTGGCCATTCGAATTACGTTTGTCCTGAAAAAAATGAGAGTTATAGGGGGGGGGGGGGGGGGGGGGGCCAACGCCCCAAAAGGCCCCGATTTCTAGGGCCCTTTTTGGATTTTCGATATGTGTAGGGCCTTTTGAGGCCCTAGAATTAACTTCAATTTCATCAAGTTTGATATATGCTAAGTGCTGAAATAATATTATCTGACTACTTGCACAGTACTTTTATGTTTATTTGAGTGTATTTACATGGAGATTATGGTCCATAAACACAATCAAATAGTGGTCAGGGTCAAAAGGCCCCAAAAGGCCCCAAAAAACCCCGATTTCTAGGGCCTTTTTGGATTTTCGATATGTGTAGGGCCTTTTGGGGCCCTAGAATTAACTTCAATTTCATCAAGTTTGATATATGCTAAGTGCTTTAATGATATTATCTGACTACTTGCACAGTACTTATATGTTTATTTGAGTGTATTTACATGGAGATTATGGTCCATAAACACTATCAAATAGTGGTCAGGGTCAAAAGGCCCCAAAAAGGCCCGATTTCTAGGGCCCTTTTCGGATTTTCGATATGTGTGGGGCCTTTTGAGGCGTTGACACCCCCCCCCCCCCCCCCCCCCCGTTATAGCTTCTCAGATGACAGAGATACGAAGCATTAACAAGTTTATTCATTACGTGTGATCAGGTGATTGGTTAACCTAATCATCCTCTAATCACGTGATGACCCTGTTAATTAGCCGACGAGAACTGCTCTAGAGGCCAGTAAATTGAGTGACGCGACCCGGTTACTCTTCGGAACTTGTGTCAATGGTAATATGTGAAAACTCGGTTTCTGGTTTTCGGTACTGTCAGACATAGATAGCTAAGCCGTGTCAAATCTGTGGTTGATTTAAAATGCGGAGCGCAGACAAGATCACATGACAGTATCATCGTTATGACTCGTTCAAAGTTTACACCACAACACCGTCTCTTCATTTATAGTCAGAAACAGTTCCATCAAGCTCCATACCGCACCATGACAAACATATTCCGTCAAAAGTAAATGGTATTCCAGGACCGTGTAGAAATGGATATGTCTGGATCTGGAAGACAATCCAACAAACCCACCAAACTACAGACAGACCAAGATCAGGAAGACCAGTCACCGCAACCACCGAAAGAAAGTCCTGGAGGTATAGGATCTGTAATTGAGTCCCCAAAGCTCGGAACCAGAAGGAGATCTTCCCACCTTCGCCAGTCCCGCTCTTCCCTTCGTTGCAACCTAAAAGAGCTAGGAGTGTATCCCTACCGGATCCGGATACTTCAACATCTGAAGGACTCCGCTGGTCTGACGAAGCCCATTGCCAGTTGAATGGAACCTACAGTGGTGTAGCATACAGAACAAAAGATATCCTCAAAATGAAAGTCAACATTGGATTAGAGGTTTTGGCAGTAAATGCCCCAAGATAGATCTGAAAAATGCAATCGACAACTGGAGTACATGGACTAAAGGGAAAGAGGACTAGAAAATATAGGACTTGAAAAATATCAGGACTTGAAAATTATCAAAAACTTAGATGTTGGCCTATGGCTATTACACTTGGACTAAAATAACGTTACAATTATCTGCATTAAAAATAATCAATTAGCATATTACTTGTTAACGAATGTGATAAATTATGCAAAAATGTCTATAGTATAAACGAGTTGCCTTATCTCTCAAAGATAACATGGTTAAGTAATAGGTATCTATTCACCGAGTATTTACTGAAGTTAATTTAAGATATTTGAACTATAAGACAGCTTTATTCAATTTAGCTGTCAGTACTTAGCTGAACTCAAGTGAAGTCACGTGACAAAGAGACATCAGATCAACATAAGGGATATAATAAGATGATGCACAACGGTTCAGCTTTATTGAGTTAATTTAAGTCGAATCCGACTATTACTTCTAGATCGTCATTCAAAGTTCCGTTAAGGCCTATTTTCGTATTTCACCAAATTTAGGCTTGAACAATCTGGACAGTTTGGTACTGACAGTCGTAGTTTTTTTTGGTATAAACTGAGTTTATAATATGTGCACCCTTGCGGCCTTGCACTTGGGGCTTACAATAATCAATTTAAGGGGTTATGAATAATAAACAATTAATATCACAGGGAATGCCATATACACTATACAGTATACCTGATACTTTAACTTACCTGAAGTGTCAGAGTAGGACTCATTCATCTGAAACCAAGTCTTAAGTTCAGGTTCAGGAACGTGGTTTAATATCCACGATTTCAATCTCCGTTTGCAAACCTCTGCATCTGGCATAACATGTTAAGTTTTTAAAATATATAAAAATACTTACTTACTTACAGTTCATAGCATGAATGAAAAACATTTGGCTTCAATTATCAAAGGAAATAATTTGGCTTAGGAAAATCACTATTTTCAGCCCAATATGATAATGTAATTTAGGGAGTTTTCTCTTAAATATTTTTAGTCCAATAAGGTATATTTGTTTCGTGAGCCAATTACCAAACTTTTAATCATCTACCTTTTATTTGATCTTTAATATCCCTATCAGTTTGACCACTTCTGCATGGGCAATCTTCAGTTTCCTGAGAGATATGTTTTATTAAAGAGGATGATGGTGCCTATTATTAGCAATTTGACAAATACAAGTAACATGTAAAGGCTAAAGTCAAGCTTAATTGATTGAATGAATTTTGTAGATTCTGATATTCAAGTCTATGAAGTAATGTACAGTACATCCAAATCAGAAATGATACATTTCCTCTGTTTATTCACAATTACATCAGTTTGAGACTCTTTATCAAATTTGCAGAGACTTTCAATTGTTGCGTAAGGCTGTTCGTAGGGCTCTTCAGTTTCTTCAGTGGTGTAAATATCCTTGAATCTCATCTAGCTTTAAAATTGTATTTTATTCATGTACATTGTATAACAATATAGCAAATATTATAATGGCAGATAACTAAACTAGATGTTAATGGTGTTAAATTTTGCTTTGCACAAAGTATGGGAGTCAAAGACCCTGTCCTACATGGCATTTGTACTTGCTCACATGACTTGGAAGTAGAGTAAATCACTGAATTTGAATTTCATTTTAGTCCACCATTAATGTTAAACACATTTCGATAGTGCTGGTAGTTTTGGCATGAGCCGAAACTATGTTTTCAGAGTATGACCCCATAACTTGAAAGTAAAATTATTCAAACAATATACACATAATTGTCACAATAAATAAATAATAATAATAAATACAAAATTTATAAACCGCCTTATAGCTAAATCATATAACTCGAGATAAACTCCAGTGCTTTCTAAAGCGGCTCTTACATTAACTGAGCTTAGTTTAATTGAAAATTAGACATGACAAGTTCATTTTACCTATGTAAATGCAAAATCAATCAAATGCTAGAGAAAAGAAGTATGTTTTAAGTTTGGTCTTGAAAGATGTAACTGACTCAGCTGATCTTATGTCGTATGGCAAGGAATTAAATACTTTAACTGCACAGTGACTAAAAGCTTTCTCTGTGTTTACATAGTTAGGAGAGGGCGGAAAACTAAGGTAAAAATAATCATTATCAAGACGTACATTTTTAAAACTTTGCTGCCTAGGAGATATCAACTCTTTTAAGTAAGGAGGAGCTATATTATTTAAACACTTGTAGGCGAGTAGGGCAATCTTAAAATCTATTCTAAATCTAACTGGTAGAAAATGAACTTTCTTAAGTAGTGGAGTAGTGTGTGCCTTTCTTCCTCTCCCGAAAATAAATCTTACAGCAGAATTTTGCACCTTCTGTAAACGACTTAAATCATAAGAGCTCAGTCCAAAATATACGCTATTGCAATAATCAATTCTAGAGAGTACTACTAGAGCATGAACAAGCTGAATCTTAAGGTTAAAAGACAGTTTTGATGCAATAAACCACAAATTTCTGATCTGAATATTACATGCTTGAACCACTGATGTAATCTGATCACTCATTGAAAGATAACTGTCCAAATACAGCCCAAGACTCTTCACAGTTCCATTAACAACATGTGGCTCTTGATCCTTAACAATCTGTAGAGAGGCTGGAATATTTGTTGAGTCAAATTTAGAGGATATAACGATGACTTCAGTCTTAGAAGAATTCAGTTGAAGGAAATTGTTTGTCATCCATTTCTTGATATCAGACATACAGTGTTCCATATTGTGCTCTAGCTGTGATGGGTCATCAGAATCAAGAGTGAAATACAGCTGGGTGTCATCAGCATACAAATGAATACAGCACCCATGCATACTTGCAATGTTCTCAAGATCTTTGGTGTACAATATGAATAGCAGGGGGCCAAGGATTGAACCTTGTGGCACACCTATCTCAAGAACAGTTGCTGAGGAAGACGAATCCTTGACTTTGACACAAAATGAACAGTTAGCCAAGTAGGACCTGATCCATGTAAGAGCAATGCCTGTAATGCCATAAGCAGATCTTAGCTTCTTGATTAATCTTGGGTGATTGACAGTATCAAAGGCAGCACTCAAATCTAGAAGTAAAAGAACAACTTTAGTTTTCTTGTCAATAGTTATCAAGATGTCGTTATGGATTCTGGTTGTTGCAGTTTCACAGCTATGAAACTTCCTATAGCCGGACTGAACTTTAGAAAGCAAGTTGTTATCCTCAAGATAACTGGTGAGCTGTATAGATACACACTTCTCAATGATTTTTGACAAGAATGAGAGATTGCTAATAGGCCTATAGTTAGATAGAGATTCACCGTCAAGGCCACGTTTCTTCAAACTTGGACGAATGAGAGCCTCCTTAAGTTTATGACCCTATATAAAAACAACCCTTCAAAAAATCAATATATTCCCTATCTCAAATATTGGGAGAAAAATTTGAATATCAACCTTTGCCTTGTGGCTCCAAATTCAAATCTAAACTGTTTATATCAACAAAGTTCTTTCTTGCACCTCTGTCCCCCCGTAGAGAAATCACTGTTGTTCTTAGGATTTCGAAACGAAGGCGCTTTCTTATGTATCCAACAGCATCGGAATACCTTTGCCCTGTGTGGTATTCCATCTTGCTAGCAAGCTTCTTTACTAGTCTTTCAGCTTCACCACCCATTCCACCAGATGTTGAGAAAACTAACGGCGTGAAGCTTCCTTTCTCTACTTCCAGAACCCTTGCATTGTAACACCTTTTCTTCTCATTTTCATGGGACTGGTACATTGCTGGGATCGACTTGCTTGCATTGGAGGGGGCTGGGGCATGGAATACCCTTACATCAAAATATGCCCTCTCTGAAGCATTCCAAATCGATCTTGCAGAAATGTCCAGCCTAGCTTGGTCTCCTAGGACTGTTCCCTCTGACCCCATAACTACTGTATCCCTTACTACGGTGCACCACAAAAACATGAACTGAATGCCCTACTGCTGAACACCAGGCGGCCTACCGACAGTTGCGCCCATTTCCCAAAAAATCTTGGACCTGAAAAAATCGTCAAAAAACGAGGTCCAAGATCTTCAAAATCGAATAAAAAATGTTCTGTGGCCTATCTCAATATTCTGGCCTGATAATCTCTTTCAAATGGTCCTTAGAACATATCCTCAAAGTTTCAGGGTGATTGCTCAAAAAATGTAGGAGAAGATAGATTTTTAGACTCGATTTTCAGGGCGTGTGATTGAAAATTACGCATAAGCGCTGACCTTTGACCAGCGATAATTTTGGCTAGGAACAATATTTTTCCATGGGACCAAAAGCAGCTGATAGATATCACTCCCTTCTATCAGAAACAACTAAAAAGTCAATTTCGAGAGAATTTTGATGAAGACCCTGCCTGTATCTTTTCATGTCCTTAATAAACATTTTTTATTTTAGCCTGTTGTTTTACTTTAATTCTGATTATAATAAATTGCACAAAATTGTTTGTTAGATTGTCAGAAAAGAAACAAAATATTTTGATAATAGCTGAATTGAAGGATTTATGAATCTCAATTTCGTTAAAAATTGGTAAATGACAAACTTTTTTACTTTAAAAAAAATTGTATTTTACTTACTTTTCCATTTGTATTAATTTAAGTTCGTTCCAATTGGCACAGCAGAATACACTTGACAGGCAATAGAAATTTTCCATTGCTAAAAAAATTGTAGCAAGATGCGTTACTGGGCTGCGCCGCGCATCCAATAATGATTCTGTGGGCCTATCCGATCCGAGCTGCGAAAAATTTGTAGCGCGATGCACTACTGGGTCGCGCCGCGCATTTTCTCGCAACATGCAGATCGGCGAGATCAGAGATGCGACGACTGACACCCTGAATTATCAACGAAAAATTGACATCGTCAATTAATTACAAAATTTAAATGTTATTATATTATATGGTATAAATGGTTATGAAATTTTAATTGTTTTTTTTGGAAAGTCTCAAGCGTTTTGTTTATAATCCTGAAAAATCCATCCAGGAAAAATTTGAAAAATATAATAAAAGCTAAAGTCATGAACATAATATTTAATTATTTTGGGTTTTATACCTTAAATATTATGATACAGTATAATCATAATTTCAATGTAAGTTTCAAATGTAAGTTTGACGGATAATTTAATATTTGACGCGGACGATATCAATTCATTGCAGCTTGGCGATGTAATGTCCTTGGCCTTGATTCACAATATCAATCCTTCGAAGCTCGGTGAGGCCCAGTGGTGCATCTCGTTTGACATACGTTGCATGCCACTTTTCGCGCGCGAAGGCGTAACATGTATCAACATCTCGTCGATCTAGCGAGAAGTATAATTGAGTGCGCGGCGCGGCCCAGGATGCAGTAACGCATCGCGCTACAAACGGATAATACTCGTTTAAATTTCTTCAAAGTAGCGCGCGCCGCTTTCTTCTTGCAATATTAGCCGCAATATAGTGCTACTATACCCCTAGTTAGTCCATTAACAATTAAATGGAAAAGTGTACGTGAACAGTATTCATTTCAGCAACTAATATATAATATTGATTTTTAAAATCCGAAATTAAAAAATTGTTATTTTTAAAAGCATAAACCAAATTTTAATTTTCAATTTTAGTAAACCGAATTTTACTATGCGTACGTGTTTTTTTGTTTTGGTGTTAGAATGTAAAAGTATGTAATTAAATCCGGCGTTGCATCTATCAATTGATTTATGTCTGATTTATCTGTAAAGTAAGTAAGTAAGTAACGATATTGTTGTATAATTTGTATCATCATGTTGTCTTGACCAGTATGATTTCATTCGCCCATTTAGTTGAGTAATATTGTTTCATGTCATGTCATTGTATAGTAGTATTTTAAAGTGTAAAATATGTGGCTCCTTTATCAGAAATCTCTTACAACCTCATCCCTGCCCCTATCTCATGATGGAGTAGCTAGATGTGTGTATATTTGATTGTTGATATTTAATATTATGTAATATTGGTAGTAGTGGACAATATCAGTTACCTCTGCCAATTGCATCACTTGATTTAATTGATTAGAGTATTACAAATTTAATAGTTTTTGCGACGTATTGATCCAGATTTTCTTATTTCATGGTTTTGCATATATAAAGTAAAGTAAATTAAATTCATGACATTACATCATCACTCATTTCTACATCTCATCACATTACATGAAAAATTATATAAAGATATCCTTACCGACAGTAATAATTTATCGAATACAGTTTATTAAATATTATTATTCTGTTAAGAAGTACACTCATTGCACTAAGAGGAATCAGAGGAAGATCAACGGCCCAACATCTTGAACTGCATGACATCTCCTTCAACCTCATCCCCCAGAAGACGAGCTTTGAGGTCTCCTAGATTTGTTTATGCAAATTTTGATATTTTACTGTACTATTTTATGTTGTATATAATTTTACGGACGAAATGATCCCAGGGGGGACTCCCAACCCACCGCTTCGGCGGGTAGTTGACGCACCTTTCACAAGCAAGAGCCAGCTACATGGGTTGGGGGTCCCCCCTTTTTTATTTTTTATTTTTTATTTTTTTATTAAATATTATTAGATACATCATAATTTAAAAACCTATTCATACTTGGATCCAACCCATTGGAATAAAGATTTATGAAGTGCTCCTTTGCCACATAAGGATGAAACCAAAGACAATTGTTGTGTTTAATTATTTCTTCTTTTACCTTGGATATGCTGCAAGATTTGTGAGAGGTATGCTGCTATCGAACTTGTATTTTAATTAATTGTTATTTTAATATTAATTGTCTTGGTAGTCCTGCATATGTGTACTGCCTCAGCATGATTATGCTACGCATGACTGTGTAATAGTTACCTGTTTGTCTCATCGTAAAAAGGGCATTTTGACTACTTGTTTTTACCCTACTTGTTTTTACCTCCAAGCACCTTCTAAACTACTTACTATTATAGCTGGATATTCGATCAATTTAATAGTAAGTAGTTGGGGCGCCCAAAGGCAATGGCAATGTTACGTCACTGCACTGAAACAGCTACCCTTCATCTTTGTTTTTATGTAAAATTAAAGGCGAAATTGGTCCTACAAATTAACATAAACTAGTAATGGCCTGCTAATGCCAAGAAAGTGCTCATCTATGCTAATAATATTATGTGTTGTAATATATTTTTTTCGACATCACTATCAATTGAACTTGATGATTGATCCTTAGTATTAAGGGTGAATCCCATAACATGTAGTTACACTAAACTTCTACATGACATGTGCACCTCTGAGTGTATTTGAACCTGGCTGGCTATTGCTATGCTTGTTATGGTTCAAGTTTATCTACATTTATGCTGTGGAAGACGGAAGTTTAATTTTTGCTAGATTACTAGATGTACTTGTCGTAAATTGTCACTTGACTAGATTTATCATCTGTCATTGTGAGATTTCATTCCTGAAAGCGAATTTCCAAAACATTCTCTGAGGGCCTACAATCTGCATCCTCTTTTTCGAACCACACTTATTTCACGACTATTTCTGTCAGGCCCTAATATATATTATATTGATATGCATTAAAAAATCTTATTATTTTAATAGTACTTGAAACTGTGATTGAAAATGATCTCTATTGCCAAATTGCTTCTAGCAAAATTGTCAAAATGATCTGCTTTCAGCAAAAAAACGTTAATTTCTGTCTGTGCAAAGGTTTATGTTGGCTGCACATACAACTTTTCTCAGTGCATGGTTACCTCTACTATAATGCAGTATGCAAGGCACATAATATATTTAATAGTTTAAAATAGTTCATTTCTCAAAATACACGATTTTGGAGGCTTTTAAAATTTTTTGATTGTAGATTTCAATGTGGTCAAGTAAAAACGTAAAAATTTTCTGGGACCCAACTATAAATGCCCTGCAGGCTGGTGAGAAATTTTGTGCAAGAGTACTGGAAAGAAAAGCAATTTTGAAAGCTAAAGGTAAGGTGCAAATAAGGAATAAGGATCGTAGCTCAGAGATCACCACTGACTGCTAGAAAGTAAAAAATACGCTAACTTCTTTTTAAATTCAGAAAGCAGATTATGTCTGGGTTGGTGCAGTATGTTCTGGTGCGGGGTGATCTAAAAAGCACTTGGCCACTGGGTGCTATCATAGCTCAAGCTTGTCATGCATGCACTGCCGTGATTTATCAGTTTAGAAATGATGAAAATGTTGTTAACTACACCGCAGATATGGATAATATGCACAAGTGTGTACTGGAGGTAAAGTTATTTCGTGTTTTATCATAATTATAATTTTAGTTTAATTTAGTTAATTTAGTGAGCTGGAGTTGATTGTTATTTCAGACGAAATCTAATATCCACATTAAATCCTGTCATTATCCACATAAAGATACTCTTCCTTCATTGTAATTGCTCATATATTGTAGATAAAAAGTGAGGAACAATTGAAGAATCTGTCAGAGAAGTTGAAAGAAAACGGTATCGATCACAAGTTGTGGGTAGAGCAGCCGGAAAACATCCCAACTTGCTTAGCTGTTAAACCCTATCCTAAATCAGAAGTTAAAAAGTATTTCAATAAATATCAGTTATTAAAATAGGCTTCACTTTAGCTGTCTTAAATGGGGAAATAGCATTTTTTAGTTAGACAGTTAAAATAATTTATTTGAGATTTCAGTATTTATATTAATAATAACTAGCAGCATATAATAACTTAGAATATTTTTAAGTTATAAAGTTACGTCATCATTGAACTTAATTAATCTTATATTATGTAAGATGTAAGTAGTGACAAAGAGCAGTTTCTATGATCTTTACTAGAATCCATTAGCTCATGAATAGCTTAACCTGCTAGGAGAAAATGAAAGTGAAATGGAAAGTAAAAGTACTTTATTATCACGTGGTTAAGTTAGACCACGTAGCCATCATTTTCATTTGACCCTGACTTATTGTTCATGATGTAACTACTGGTAGCTTCCTTGACCTTTGACTGAAGTATTTACCTTAGATAAAATATGTTAAATAAGCCTGAGGTGACATCAGTGAAATCTAACAATTGAAATGTAAACAAGAGTTGAAGTATCGCAGATAAGGTGCTTATCGCTGACACGAGTTACGGTACGGTATAATGTTACCGCTAATATTGAGACGTTTAATTCACTTATATTCCCCTGTAATACGGAAACAATAGATGTCCAAGCTGGCCACAGCACGATGCACTTACGTTACATTATGATTATAATATGATATTTTTATAGTTTAGCTTCGCGGTCCTTAAAAAGGATAATCGTTTTTATATATAAGCCTTTAAATTCGTACGAATTTGAAATACTCCATTTGAGGCCCGGTAACATAGTCTATTTGCCCTCTTGTAGTTTTTAGCGATACGTTACTGTGCCCCGTTTTAAAAAAGTTTATTTTAATTTGTGTTCCTTTGCAGTAGTTGTTCAGAACTTGCATAAATTCCGTTCCTTCATAATTGGCCTAATATAATTCAGTATAGATTATGCATTATATTACTGTCTGCGATGTATGGAATGTAGCATAAATGAAACATTTGCGATGTCATTATCTAGGATTGCGTGGGGGCTACCTAGCGAAAAAAACTGTGCGTAATGTTTACCTTTGTCTGTCTACGTGCGTTGTATCGCACTGCAACAATAATATTCTACGTCACACTAATCGCGTGCTTGCTTTGTGTGTGTGTGCCATGAAACCAATTTATTATTTTCTCCGCTTCTCCTGCTGCGAGTGAAAAGTTCCCAAGGTTTGATTACTTTTGCATATTATTTAATTGGCTTAATTAAGAAAAAATAATGAGCTAAGATTGGTCATGTTTTCAAAAGTAGAAAGTGCCAGATTTGTTATAGAACACCAGCTACTCATGTGCTAATTGTCATGGACACAAACTGTCTGGAGACAAATATTAGGTCATGGAGCTGGGTGGCCTCATTTCACTCTATCATCGCCTGATTTCGTGTGCTTTTGTGTTGTGTTGATTTATTGTCATAATATTATGGTATTTGTACTTTATCTTTTATTTTGAAACTTACTTTCATCTAAACCCACCTCACTTCCTAGCTATGACAGACAGAGTTGCGAGTACGACAGCCGAGGTGGCTTCCTCCGCCTCCGAAGGAACAGCCGACCTGATGAGGAACGCGTCCCAAACCTCGGGAACCAGTACCACTGAACCCATGAGAAACACAGTGTTTAACTTTCTGAGGAAGAGGAAAAAGAGTGAGAAGACTGGTGGAAGACAGTATAGGGAGTACATGTGCTGTGTGTGTTTAATGGTAAGTGTATCCGTTTAAAGCGGGAATTTTCAAGAATTTACAAGAAGTCTGAATTGTGATGAGAATTAACTTCTATATAAATTATTATAATCTATAATTATGGCCTTCTTCATTAAAATTTCATGACACCATTGGAGACTATTGCTCCTCTAGTTATAACAAGAGAGCACATTAAAATATTCAGGTAAGGATCTTTAAATATCAAATGACATCTTTAAGCGCAACTATGTATCCACCCACGGATTATAAACAGTTTACTAAACTTCAAAAACCACTGCCTAGACTGCCACTTAGCAAGTTCTCTCTATTTAAATAAATAAATCCCGTCTAGAGAGTTGCCTTTGATGACTCCTGCAAGTTCAGTGCAACTTCCCTGCACTTCTAATCGCTGATTCTTTTGACAACTTCTACACACACAACCCGAGTCGATTGCAACTGTCTGCAACCTTGAGCTCAGAGATTAACATGAAATCCGCGACAGGTGTGATCACCATCATATTTAACAAACTGCTGTCATGTGAACTGCAGTATGAAGTTGTTGCTTACCATAAAGCAATAAAGCAGTTGTAGTCCCATCAAAATGGTGGCTCATGCCTACAATCCCGACACTAAACTTGTGATCCCTCTTGACACTTCGGATAACTGTCGACATTTAAATCACTGTCTTCTAAAAGAGTCCACACTCCACTCGTTCCTTAGATACATTACGTCATGTGCATTATAAGACCAACATCAAGCATGCCCCATCCGCAAATTATGACAAATTTATAAATAGTTATACAATATTGTCTTTACACAGTTGGATAAATTTATAAATAGTTATACAATAATGTCTAAACACTGGAGACATTGCAGTTGTTATAACCATCTATTTAATTTTAAACTGCACTATAACCTCACTTTTGTAAATTTAATTTATAAAACCTTCTGATTTTGCATATGTAAACTGTCCAGTTATGCAGTGCTCTAGTATTAAACGTTTTAAGACCTTTAGAGCGCAGTATTTTAAAGATCGACCCCCGGTAACTCAATATCTCTCATTGTCAGAAAGTATAAAAAGAATTTATATTGGATTGCCTCTCCTGCTTTTACTAACGTCCACAAATAGCATATCTACGGTAGTTAGAATTAAATGCTAAGTGACAAGAGTAAGATAAGATTACTTGAAACTTTAGATCTATTCAGGGATTTTCATTGGCTGACCGAACCGATAGGATATGTAATATATATCACTTAACAATCTCTAGTGTACCCCAGCCGAGCTATTTTTACCTTTTTTCTCCCTGTCTTGAAATACTTAAATTGCTTCTGGTAATGACCTTAAATCTATAAATAGTTTTCCAGAGAAAAGCTCAAATCTATAAATAAGCTTCCAGAGAATCAAATGGTCGCTTCAAATCGAATCAGTCATGAAGCATCGGATAGATTGGAATTATTGTAATTGACTTCTTGACAAATGAAAGAGTTAATTATATGTAACAGTAATATCTCCCCTCAGAACAAAGTGAAGTACGAATTCCCAAAGTTGTTGTCATGCAGTCACAGAACCTGTGAAGAGTGTCTTAGACTTTACTTTAAGACGCGGGTAAAGCAGATTTCATTACTTATTTTATCATTGTTTCAAAACTGTGTGCAACAATTTAAGAAGAATTTGACATTATCTCAACTTCCGGGTTCTAACTGGTGAGTGGGGTGTTTAAGATATCCTATATCTCCCTACATTGACATACTGTTACTCTCTCTCAGATAAGCACGGGATCAACGAACATAACTTGTCCCAATCCTGGGTGTTATGGAACGTATACTCCAAAACATGTTAAAATGGTTCTCCGCAACGACCACCTTCACAATAAATACCAAGGTAAGTCACAATGTCATTATCACAGACCGTAATACCCGGTTACTGATGGGGAGGAGAACCATGTAATGTTTTTGACACGTGACTGTGATAAACCTATCAGCTTCCATTATCGGCCAGTTAAAACCCAGAATCACTGTCAGGTGTCAAAACAAATATTATGGTTCACCTAGCCACAATACTATCCAGGCCTGTTTTGTTGTATCTTTGAGCAACTCTTTATAAATACATAAAATTTCATATTGACACATCTTTACTTGATATTTGATATGGGTCGTCATTGACAACACTCTATAATACTACTGAAATGAACTACTACTGAAATGAACCGATCATGATATTCGATATCTACTCAAAATGTAAATATTTTGCTTTTTTGTTGAACTATTTGAATTAGTTAAATTAGTACTACAGTATGATCTAGCTAAAACTACTCAACCAGTTATCTCTACTACTCAACCAGTTATCTAACTGTAATTACTCTAGTAACCGCCAAAACGTTTACTTTATAAAACCCTCATCTACGTGTTTTAATTTCAAAACGACATTAAATTTTTGGCATTTCTATTGGCTATTTAGTATTTACTGCTGTAACTTGATAAGCGGCACCACTGCACAATCCAGCCATTGAGTTCGCGGCATTACTTAAACCTATTAAACCCATTATTACAACACAATAATACGGCTCGTACGGGGGTGAATTTTGCAGATTTACAAACGGATCGGTATTAATGTCGGCCTATAATGTGATAGTATTTCTACAGTTGCAACACGTACACAATTTACTAAAATATATTCACATTATAATATTACAAAGGCTAGTACAAAATAACCACTTAGCCATCCCTGGCGTTGGTAAATTCATGTGCACCCAATGACGCACCCTTTTAACATGTTCCCTAGGTAGCAAATTTATTGGAGTAATGAAATTTCATCCGCCTGGCTCAGTCAAAAGGGAGGGATTCCTAAATTATTATAATTAGAATTATGGGCAAGTTTCCATAAACGATATTTTATTATCGGCGCCGATAATCGCTTATTGAGCGCTTTTTCGGCGCTTTTAAAAAAAAAAACCGTTTACAATCGCTTTTTTTACGATTATAAACGGTTCAAAAAAAATCGCTTATAATCGACTATAATTGGTGTTATAATTCAAAAAAGCGCTTTTTTAAATTTATAAGCGCTTTTAAGCGCTTACTAGCGTCGCTGAGCGATTTGAAAGCGGTTTTCCAGTAGGATTGGCGCCAAAAACGGGTGGATAAGTGGTTGGCCGGATAAGCGATTCGTAAGCGCTTTTTTGAACCATTTATAAGCGATTATAAGCGCTTATAATTGGGGTGCAATTTAGCTGTTTGTAAAGCGCAAATAAAGCGCTTATAAGCGCTTTTAAAATTGAGTCAGGAAAACGCTATATTACATCTTATAACCGCTTATAATCGATTATAAGCGTTTTTTTAGAAATCGCTTATAACGGCTAATTCATCGCTATTTCACCGCTTTTACCGCTTTTCCTATCATCCATGGCCAGGTGAGCAGGAATTAAAAAGCGCTTATAAGCGCTTTTTCGATGCTGCCCCTAGCCTGGTCGGAACGGGGTAGTGCCCGGAATTTAAAAGTGCTTATAAGCGATTTCTCAATTCCCCTTAACCTGGTTGGAACTTTCATGTGCTTTTCTGAGCAACCTGGGGTGCACCGGCAGAGTCAGGATTTAAAAGCGCTTATGATCGCTTTTCTACCGCTTTTCCTATCACCCATGGCCTGGTTGGCAAGAATTATAAAGCGCTTATAAGCGTTTTTTCAATGCTGCCCCTAACCTGTTCGGAACGGGGGTGTGCCCGGAATTAATAGCGCTTATAAACGATTTCTATAAACGATAAGCGTTTTTTCAATGCTGCCCCTAACCTGTTCGGAACGGGGGTGTGCCCGGAATTTAAAAGTGCTTATAAGCGATTTCTCAATTCCCCTTAACCTGGTTGGAACTTTCATGTGCTTTTCTGAGCAACCTGGGGTGCACCGGCAGAGTCAGGATTTAAAAGCGCTTATGATCGCTTTTCTACCGCTTTTCCTATCACCCATGGCCTGGTTGGCAAGAATTATAAAGCGCTTATAAGCGTTTTTTCAATGCTGCCCCTAACCTGTTCGGAACGGGGGTGTGCCCGGAATTAAAAAGCGCTTATAAACGATTTCTAAATTCTCTTCAACCTGGTCGGAACTGGAGAGTGCCCACTTGCATGTGCTTTTCTGAGCAACCTGGGGTGCACCGGCAGAGTCAGGATTTAAAAGCGCTTATAGGCGCTTATGATTGCTTTTCTACCGCTTTTCCCATCACCCATGGCCTGGTTGGCAAGAATTATAAAGCGCTTATAAGCGTTTTTTCAATGCTGCCCCTAACCTGGTCGGAACGATGGAGTGCCTGGAATTAATAAGCGCTTATAAGCGATTTCTCAATTCCCCTTAACCTGGTCGGAACTAGAAATCAGAGTGCCCACTTATAAGTGCTTTTCTGTGCAACCTGGGGTGCACCGGCAGAGTCAGGATTTAAAAGCGCTTATAGGTGCTTATGATCGCTTTTCTACCGCTTTTCCCATTACCCATGGCCTGGTTGGCAAGAATTTTAAGCGCTTTTTCAATGCTACCCCTAACCTGGTCGGAACGGGGGAGTGCCTGGAATTAATATGCGCTTATAAGCGATTTCTGAATTCCCCTTAACCTGGTCGGAACTGGAAATCAGAGTGCCCGCTTATAAGTTCTTTTCTGTGCAACCTGGGGTGCACCGGCAGAGTCAGGATTTAAAAGCGCTTAAATAGGCGCTTATGATCGCTTTTCTACCGCTTTTCCTATCGCCCATGGCCTGGTTGGCAGGAATTAGAAAGCGCCTATAAGCGCTTTTTCAATGCTGCCACTAACCTGGTCGCAACGGGGGAGTGCCCGGAATTAAAAGGCGCTTATAAGCACTTTTTCAATGCTGCCCCTAACCTGGTCGGAACGGGGGAGTGCCCGGAATTTAAAAGCGCTTATAGTTATAAGCGATTTCTCAATTCCCTTCAACCTGGTCGGAACTGGAGAGTGCCCACTCGTATGTGCTTTTCTGAGCAAACTGGGGTGCACCGGCAGAGTCAGGATTTAAAAGCGCTTATAGGCGCTTATGATCGCTTATTTACCGCTTTTCCCATCACCCATGGGCACCTAAGGATTTGAAAAGCGGTTATAAGTTATAAGCGATTACAATCACTTTTTATTGCTGGTTTTTACCGATTTATCTATCATTTATCAACATGGATTTAAACATAGTTGTTTGCCTGGCGATCTAGAAGCCAAGCAAGAAGGCTAAGTGCACGGCGCGGCAAAGTTCTCCGACAATAATTGTCAGAAATTGTAAAGCGCTTGCAATTGTTTATTTATATGTTGTTAATGGTGGTGGTTGTCCTGGTGGCGGTCGATGCGCGCTGCGTCATCAGTCATACACACTTCACATTCAGAACTTGCAAAAGAAAAATATAGTATATGAAATTAAATTATTGCGCTGGGCCACGCTCAGTCTGTCAACGAGTATGACAGGCCTGTTTATGTCATTCCAAGGAATCTCTAGTCAGGCTGAGCGAATCACGACGTCTGAAAAAAGTGCGGTGCTCATTGAAAGTTTGTGTGTGCGTGACCAGCATTCACGTACTTGTTCATAATCAATCGTGGACATTAAAACAAGTGCACACTGAGTACCAATAGGAAAAAAGTAATGTATATATACGCTAGTAAAGCCGTGCGCGTGCAGGCGTGCTGAGATAGCTTGTAAAATTTGGTTATTAGATAGTAAAACTGCAACAAATAAACCGCGCCAGATTGCGCGTTTGAATCGCTCCTACGAAATCGCTCGCCCAAATTTTAAGAAAATTCTTGTGAAAAGGCCTTTGGGTATGACATTGATCTAAATCGGTGTATTTTTTGGACGCTGATCCCGAATCACCCGCCATGACGTAGGGTAAAAATATTTCCCTGGAGAGTTACATGGGCAAAAACCGTTTTAGTCACGTGACAGGCTAGTAAAACATGATTTCGATTGTTTAGGGCTCATGTTAGGGTTTGGGTTAAGGTACGCGGGTTATGGATAGCTTCGGGGTTATGATTGGGATTAGGGTTTATGTAAAATTGTTTTGTACGGCTGCAAAACCATAAAAACCAAGGTCACGTGAAATTTTTGGGCGAGCGAATTAAGCAAGAGCCGGTCGCGGTTTTTATACAAAAATAAGCGTACACATGATATACAATGCAATAAAGCTAAGAGTTTCTGCATGTTCGATTATTTTGCACCTAACTCAATTCCGAATCACCCCTCATGGCTGTATTATATATAGTTATAACCATAAGTTTGTGTGTTTATAACCATACAAGACGTATTTATACCATGCAAAACGTATTTATAAGCATGCAAGACACTTAATTGTCGCCGGTCTAATTGCTTATCTTTGTGATAAATATTTTAAGAGTATCACTTGACCATTGCATGTTACATGTTACTGGTCTGGCCCGACATAGCACGTGCCATCGTGGCATTTCGAGAAGAAAGCGGCGCGCGCTACTTTAGACGAGTAACATCCGTCAATTAAGAGTATCACCTGTTAACCATGGGTATTGGGTCTACTTGTATCATTCAGGTCGCGTCGTGACATAGTCATAAGTAAATTAAACAATTGCGCGGTAATCGTGAATCGGTAAACAAGCTGATATGCCCATTTTACAGCATGAACTAACATGAGACAAAATAAAATATTGACTCACAATGCGATGTCAATCTTTCAATTCACAGCTTGGCGAGGCCCAGTCTAGTGGTGAATTTTTACCAAACTAGCGAAGCGCAATGTTGAATGTGATTGCGAGAATTGACGGGTGACACTCGTAAAATATTTGTTCCATATATTGGAGTCCAACTCGGCTTTTACTAATTCGCTCGCCCAAAAATTTCACGTGACTTTGGTTTTTATGGTTTTGCAGCCGTACAAAACGGTTTT